AAGGAATTAGGAATAAGGCATGTTGCATCTCACTTTAATGTACGTGTACTGAAGTGGATGCGACATTCCCTTATTCCTTATTCCTTTATCTTATTCCTTATTTTTGTCATTGTGTCTGAGCCCTTATACTCTTAAGAGTATATTGGGAGCTTTCCAGCAAGTTGATACAAGTTGACACAAACATCGTTCTATCTTTCTTTTTTGGCAATAAGTATAACAAAGATAAAACGATACTTGTGTCACTTGCTGGAAAGCTTCCATTAAGAGATAATATACTCTTGGAGTCTGTTGCCATAGAATAAATTATTTTAAAAATCCAATTTCTTTGTCTAAAATTTTTTTCACATAGTTCTACGAACATTGATAATGTATACAATTTGTCTGTTTATAAATAAGATTATATATTTATATAAATTCATTTATATATTATTTGTATAACCTTATGTAATTTCTAATAATAAAAAATATTCTCATACAAATATACATAATGTATATGTTACAGTAAAAGCGTGAAATTCAGTAAATGTAAAATGTACATATACACACACACTTACAAGAGTTCTAATTTATAAATATTAGAGTAGTGGAATAGAGCAGTAAGGGGGTTGTGCCATCCATCCCAAAAAACCTAACCCAATCTATATCACTGTGATATAATTTTCATATAATGATGGTGCTTATTAAAAGATATAAATTTGAAACATAAAATTAATGAATATATACATTTACTGGTAAATGCATACATTGACTACTAAGTGTATATATATATATATATATTTATTTATATATTTATTTATTCATTGATTTCAGTGCTTTTATTGTGACATACATATATGCAATATAATGAATATAATATATATAATCTTATATGATTGTATATTATTGTCAATTATAAAAATGTACGAGGGTGCTAAATATATAAGAATAAAATTTTTACATGTATGTCTATCATATAAAAATAATAAGAATGATTTATTTATTATATTTATTCTCAGTCATATTTAATACAAGTAATTAATGGAAAGATATTTTATAAATACGAATCATGTTTTTTATTATATGTTTATATACGATAAAGGAATGCATTCAAATAATATTCTCTAATGCATAGTCACAAATAATGAGAAGCGTACAAATTTTAAAAAGGACTAAACATTAACAAAAAAATTTACACATTTAAATAAAAATTGATATTTTCTGCGATTATTTTCACATATTGCTTAGCTTTCATTGACGTCTCTTCAAATGATTCGTCGTAATATGTTTCCTCCATCATTAAATCCATAATCTTGGAACATGAAGTTACCACTTCGTACCAAATCCGTTTGTAGATTTGTAATTCTCTGTCACTCCGAATTGTTGTACGAAAATTCTTACAAGCGTCCTCTAAACACTTTACTCGTTGTTTATGCAGTTTTATTTGATTATCTCTTCGTTCTTCAAAATCTGCAAAATATTTATATGTATCCGAAATTTTAAGTGTTATTTTTGCATATATTACAATGTTAGTGTCTACAGTAAAATATTTCTTCGCTGATTCCAGTTGCATCAAAGTTTTTTTAAAAATCGATTTGGCATCAGAAAAATTTAATATACTTGTTTCTGTGATACTAATAGTTGTGCGTTTCAATTCTTTGTCTAGACTAGAAAATATTAAATGTAGCTCCCCAGATGTTATTTCTAATTTTGACACAATATCTTGTATCTTAGATTTGTTTTCTTTATTCTGTGAAAATTTTTCCATCCAGAAACGTAAAAGAGAAACTCCATAGGAACCCCAAGATTTAGAACTAAGAGCAAAGGCATAATTATAACTTTCATACAAGTGAGAAGAATCTTTATTTTCTTTCTTTGCTGGTTCCAGTCTATCTACAATAAATCTACATATTACATAATCTCCAACAGCAATGTGACTTCTAGCTTCAGCGAAACGACCGTTTGCTAGAAAGTATCTAGACAGATCAAATAAGGTTACAGCCATATCAAGACACTTTTCATCAAATTTTGTTTTGTCAGCTACCATGTTTGTCAGTCGAATGTTTAAAATCCTGTACATATATATTACAAATTTGTGCTTATCTTTCGACCTTGCAAGATATTGAAGTCCTAAGTCTTGTAACGTTGTATGATGCAAAGTTTCCAAGATAATTCTAGGATTAAATTCCTTTTCTTTAATACCAATAAGACTTGCTATGTGGATGGGATCAGGGCAATTATCCCTCAGTGTGTATTTCAAATATATTTCCAATGCTGAATTCAAGAATCTATGAGTACACTTATTTTTGCTTACTCTCTCATGAACTGAATTCGATTCGTTAAGTGCACCTATAGATGTCAATATAGTTTTACGGTCAAAATATTTTCCTTTCAACAGTTCCAAACATCTTGAAAAATGTGTTGTAGCGGTATTTAGATCGTCAGTATCCGTAGAAGGAATATATTCTAAACCTATGTTATAATAAGCATTCGATAAAGCAACAATATCATCAAATTGTGAGTCTCTTGAAACATCCATTACATTCTGATATAATACGTTCATTTTCTCCTCTATCGCTTTGATTTTTTTTCTCTTCTTAGCAAGTTTGATATCTTCATCCATGTACTTTACCTCAAACGACAATTGTAGAACGTCCAAAAATTTCTTACTAATATTCATACTTGTAGCGGGTTCGGCCGTTATCGTTTCTGTATAAACAGTAAGATTTAACGATGAAAAATCGCGCATTACACGGACATTTATTTACCTAATTTATTGTATGCGTTACCGAGTTGAAGGATTGCCTGTTTTTCTTCCGTTACTTGTCTGAGGAACGCGAACATTATTGCTCGATATTGATATGAAGACAATTTGCAGTATAATAAATTTGTTTTAGCTTGTAAATTTATCGATCGTTCTCTATCTAATCCGGATGGGGGATTTCCGCATACACGTGCCATACACGTGCTATGTATAAAAATTGGAGGGGGTTTACATGTCTGATATCCAATAGAAAGACATATTTTTGTAGGGATAAAAATTATTTTTACCTAAGGTCCCTAGCGTGTTCTCCTATAGAATATCGAATTGCATACCGGACATTGGATATCGATAAGTTTTCCAAAAAAGACATAAGATCCCACCTAGAGACCTTCAAGTAAGAGTCTGGCCACTGATCGACTGTGTGCTGATTGGCTGTGTGTTGACAAACTATGGCAGAACCAATCCAAAATATAAAAACAAGCGTCAAAACGAACCTAGAGTGCATTGTTTTTAAACGTAGCCACCGTTATTTGTCAAATTGGCCAGACTCATAAGGCTCAGTCACAATGAGAGAAATAAGGAATAAGATAAAGGAATTAGGAATAAGGCATGTTGCATCTCACTTTAATGTACGTGTACTGAAGTGGATGCGACATTCCCTTATTCCTTATTCCTTTATCTTATTCCTTATTTTTGTCATTGTGTCTGAGCCCTTATACTCTTAAGAGTATATTGGGAGCTTTCCAGCAAGTTGAT